CCCCAAAACCCCAAAACCCCAAAACCCCGTGCTGATCAAATAATGGCAATTTAATAGAAGTAACAATATATAAAGATCTACAGTCTTTATATTCAAACGTTTGATATATAATTTGAATCCGTTCCACCTATAGGATTTGTATTCTTTCTGTTTTGACTATTGATTCTTGATCTCTATCTCTCTATTAATTCAGTTACTTCAGGTCTAGCTTTCTCTCTATTACCAATCGGTTCGGGAATATATTATGGAGATACTAAAGCTGTGAAAAATCCCTTGGTAAAATCAGCTGATGATGAGAAGTTGCCATGTGAAGCTCCTTTTGTATTTATGTTTAGATTAATTTTTCCAACTGAATGATTTCCGATTGCTGTTTAAGTACCAAAAAGGTTGCTCAATGAATTATCATTTGTATTTGAATGCTAAAACTAGTTGAGGTTATGATGAGATTGTTGCTATAATAGCCTTCTTTGATAATATGTACTATTAAATTATTCACCAGACAGTTTCAAGCCATGATTAGGACTATTGAGAAGATTATACTCAAATAGTTATTCTCTTGGAGTACGAATAGTTGACTCTTTATGATTCTAAATGCCAGGTAGATAGTGGCTTTCTGATCTACCTCTAACAAATTATAAATTCCCTAGCTAGTTCTATTCTTGAATATTATTTCCGGCTGTAGATTAGTTTTGTAAATCATCTATGGGATGCTCATTTAGTCTTCTCTTCCTTACATTCAATGGATTAGTGGGAGGCCTTGCAAAAGTTGCTATACCATTTACCTAATTATTTACTGATTGAGATAGATCTATCTTATTATGTCGAACTAAATATTGCTTTTAAGGATTCATTTAAGTTTTATCTTCAAAAGGCATACAATTTTGGAAAGACTAAGCATTTTATTAAGAATTCTATTATGAGTGGGTGGGTGAAAAGTTTTGTTTAATAATATTAGCCAACTCACCCCATTTAGGTATGTTTTTCTCATCAATTTATTTGATGATATTGCTGTCTCTTGATTATCCTAGAAAATTTCCAGGACTCTAATGCTAGTTTATAGTGATACTTCTAGGTCTTTCAACTTAGGCATGATTTATCTAGCTTTAAGTGATACATTATAGAGACTCATTAGATTTGCATTTATTCAATAATGTCCTATTCATCCATCTAAGCTACGTGGAACTAAGATTTTGAGTTTCATTCATTTAGGTTGTAGTTCCAGTTCTAATGCACTTGGCAATAATCTATTCTTTCAGATTAGCATTATTTTACTTTATAGCTGAAGAATTATAATTTTTAAGACCGTTCATTGATTTCTCCACCAAGGAATTAAAGTTCAGTTAAGTGGTATTCTGTCTGCCATCAACTGTCCTACTTTACTCAAGTATGCTATCATTTGTAATATTTTGAAGATTAGAAAAGACCTATTTTTATTATGTCGGACTCTTAGAATAGCCAAAGAGAATTGTTTTTCTATTGTCTAGACTCTATGCTATTTGTGAATTAAATGATCCTTGCATATTGTTAAGATTTTAAGACTCGTAGCATGCATTTTTTGTAGACATTATGCCAGATCTCTCTTGAGATTGCAACCTAATAGCAGCTCTATTAATCGGTTTAAGCTGAGCTATTTAATCTGCTGATGTTCTAAGAGTGGTCATTAACTCAAAACTCTTCCTTAAAAAGGTATCTAATCTTTCCTTTCTTTGCACAATGGTTATTGAATTTTCTCTAGCATTTGAGTTATTTCTAGCCTAATTCTCATTTTTATCATTAGTTAGATCTATCTCCTAAGATTTTATCAAAATAGGATCCCCTCTCTCCTGATTAAAGTGAAATTAACTTTTAGAGATCAAATCAATGGTAGCCTTAGGCTTTTAGGCTTAATTTGAGAATTTATTTTTGCTAGCAAGTTAACTCATCTTTAATTTTATCTTTGGTGGAGTATTCTAAATATCCTCATTACAGTAACTACTGTTAGTTACATCATCTGCAGTCAATATTGTTTCTTACTTGGTCAATCTAAGTGTAATTTAATCATCTCTACTGTTTTAATGTTTTAGTTTTACATCAGTTAAATCTACAATAATTTTCTCCTCACTTTTTATTGAAGATTACATGAGCTGCCTATTTTTATGGTAGAGATGACTATTCGAAGTTTCCTTGAATATAGAGATATCATTTTTTAGTTACTTTTCATTGACCTTTGAAGACATTATTTTAGCTTTCATTTTCTTTTGAGCTTCTATTGATGATGGAGAATTTATACCCCCACCAATACTTCTCTCTGTAACAACTGGATGACAAGATGAATTTGTGGATGTAGGCCTTTTTTAGGTTTCTTGAACTATGAGATTATTAATACATCGAATAGGGACAATAGATTTTTTAATATTTTAGACTCCCTCATCTACTTCATCATTCTAGAAATCTGCCTTTGATTACTTTTTATTCTCTTTTTCAATATCTTTATCAATCACTTTCTTTTTTGGTACAGTTGTTTTCTTTGTGGCTTTTTAGAGTCTTGAGTTGACACTATCATTGCTCTGTTCTGTAACAAGTTCTTGATAGGACTAATGTCTGGATACATGAGCTTTATTGGAACTAGTAAGACTGCTTACCATACTCATTTTATTTTGAATAGATATCTTATTACTTACAGTCTATTGTAGTACCTGAGTGTTTCCAATACTTTAAGTTACTTAATTATTATTTCTAATACTTGTGTTGCCACTGCTAATAGATCCATTATGGCTATCATCTGTAGCTATTTTAATACTTACAGTAGGTTTAGACCATTTGAAGAGATTGGCTGTGCTGTTGTTCTTTTTCTTATCAGGTAGAGCTTTGAGTTCCTTCTTTTCCTCAAATGTTCCGGTGGGCAAGATTGCTAAAGAGCTTGATTCTGTTAGGGTCTATAGTTATTAAAATTATGAGCTAAGAGAAGCTCCACTTTTTTATCTGCTCATTGCCGCTTAATTTTTCTTCATTTCAAGTTGTTTTCTAGAAAGTGTGGGACTGAATGCCAATTCATTAATTTTGCTTGCTGAAATATTGTTATTTTGCTATAACTTTTCTGAAAACTGATTTGGCTTCACCTCTATAGATTGGAGTAATAGCTTCTTTTAATTTAAAGTTTTAATAGTGTCTGAGATATTTGATAACTTTTAAGTTTCAGCTATTATATCATCTTTTTCTTGAAGTTTCTTCGACATTTACTTAATAATTTCTTCCATTTCTCTAAGTTTCTTGTCCTTCTCACTCTCCTCAAGATCTATTATAGTCAATTTATTCTCTTTTGATAGAGACTATAATTAACTCAATGGCTAGTTGATTTTCCTGCTTAATTGCTCTTTTTCCTACTTTACTTTTGTTAGTTTATCTTAGCATGATTTCATTCCCTCTTCTTAAGATTTAATTTAATTTTTAATCCCATCAATCATTTACTTCTAATTTTTTTAAGTGGATCTTTTTTACTGCTTGTGGAGATCAGCTTTAAGTTTTTTTACTTAAGAGTCAATTTCATTTATTTGCTCTGTCAATTAATATTCCTCTTAAGTTTACAGCAATAATTAAATCTCAGGTTTGTTTTTTTAACCATTTGTATGACCTCCACTCCTTGTAGATTATTGACTCTCACCTCTATTCAGCTAAGTTTTCATGATATTAGATATACTAATTCTATCAGTATCACTGTCAGAAAGTAAGGACTAATCGGTTTGAGACATAATAGTTGTCACTTCATTTTGATCTTCTCTTGGTTATTCATTTATGGTGGTCATTCTTTTAGAAGCCTGATTTTTGCATGTATAACTTTCCAGGAGTTAAGTTGAAGGAATGCTTCCAATCTTTGAACTTTGAGAAATTTTTTATGGCTTATCTTGCTTGCTTGCAATGTCACCTTAATAAAACTGAAATGAGGATTTTGAAGTTGACTTAGAGCTTTTGATAGGCTAACTATTTTTCAATATTCCTAGCGAATTTATTATTTTGGGTTGGAGTATATTGGAAGGGAGGTTTTATATAATACTCTAGAGGTTATTCTTCTAAGCTTATGATTAATTTGTGGTGTTCGCACTCTTGATATCTCTAAAAAATTATGTGAATTGATACACTTTTTGCAAGTCTTCTTTCAGTTTAGTATTCTTATCAAGGCAAACAAATGAAAGCATAATGCTATTATTCATTGTGAAAATTCTGAGCATATTTTGAATGCTTTTATTCTATTAAATTTAAGGAAGGGAACTTGTTAAGATGACTCTAACTGTTATTTTTGTGGTTTAAATAACGATCAAACTAGTTGTTTAGAGGCTTTAGTTGCTTATGTATTTAACAAAGTCTGCTATTCCTTCCTTTGATTTAATTCTTAGCATCTGCTGACCATATATTTCTTACCCAATTAATACTGCCTCTTAATTTTCAAGTGAGAATTTATCAATAAACTTTGTCCCATCGTTTGATGAAATAACTAAAGAAAGTCAATTATTCATAAAATTTATACCTGAAATATAAATTTCATCTTGTTTGTACTTGTTGATCTAATTTTGCAAGAATAATTCTATTAATCCTCCTTGTCTAATAAAATTTTGAGGGTAAATTATACTACCTTAGAAAATTCTTTTTGAGCGTTGTCTATGGCTTTGATTGATATTTATTTCTCTCTTATTTACCTAAACTATTATTGCGATATTATTTTACATCCGAGAATTAAATTCTTTTTGCCATGATTCGAAATGCCATAGGTGATTAAGTTTATTTTCTAGATATCATTTTATAAAGCATGATCATAAATCTTAGCTAAGGTGCTAGCATACATATTCTAGTTGTTCACATTTTCAGAGAAAATATTTTGAAATTCACAAACTTTTTATTCACTTTCCTCTTTTATGATTAACTGAAATAAATTAAAAGAGTATTATGATTACCTGATTTAGGTTAATTGAAACTAAGTTTTAATCTTTATGGATGAATTTCTTTACAAGCTCAGAAGTAATACCTGAACTCGTTTATAATTTTAAGTAAATTTAGGGCTCACTCAGATCTTTCAGGTCTTTTTACACTTTATTCACATTAAAAGAGCTTTATTCACCTCCACTATTGAGAAAATTATGGGTACTCTCTTGAAAATTTGGGACTCTAGATTTTTAATTTGGTTGAGCTGAAGATTATAAGGACCTTTTGGTATGAACTTGACTTTAAGTAGCCTAATGCTGAGATTATAAATTGTTGAAGTGGTTAGATAGCTGAGCAGTATTAATTTGACTTTAAACTGCTTGAGATGCTGTTGACTATCTCATATTTAAGTTTAAATTTTAAATTTTAAATATTGCTTAAATTAAACGAGTTAATTAGATTTATTCTAGATAAATCTAAGGGAATATCAATTTATAAACATTGCTAGAATCGGTCTACGCACTTAAATAAATCAAAATTCACAATCTTCGTAGTTTTCTTCAGATTCAGAGTACTAATTCACTATTTGATCATCAATAATATCTTCGTCATACAATTTCTAAGCTTCAACCATGATTGTCCTATGATTGCTTCCACTGAACTTTATCGCACCAGAGGGATCTTCAATAATACCATATTATGTGTATTTATGGTCCAGGACTGTGTGGGCTGCATCACTCTAGCTATATTTAAGATCATCATTGGGTCTAATTGCGAGTGGCAGGGGATTTTTTATATCAGGTAGAGTTTGCAATGATTCTAACAATTCCTCATCCTTATCTTCTTCTTACTCTATTGTATACTTGGGCAATTAATCTATCTGATCATCATGAAGTGTTGCTTCTTTAATACTATCATACTCTTCTTAGTATTATTCTTCAATAGGCTCATCAATCATTTAATTTATCTAGGATAGCCTGCTTTACCCTTGAGGAGGTTAGATTTACTCAATTTTAGATCTCTTATTAGTGCCAATGCTTTAAAGATATTCATTTTCCTTGCACTCCTTAAGCAATTTTTCAATCTTCTTAACAACTAGCCCTGTTTTATATGTCTTTGAATCTATTGTCAAAAATTCAACAAGATTTTTCAGGGGTTCACCGCTCCTTCTTATGTTCAAATCTTTCAACCTATCAAAGAACTCTCTAGATTTAATAAACTTCAGCTTAAAGTTCTTTTTTTGATTGGTGCCCAGTTAAGAGTTATTAATAGTTTTCTAATAGATTTTATCTTCAAACAGCTAAATCAGGATCATGTTATTATCCTAGAGGAATTATTCTAGTCTATTCATAATTCTTATGGATTTAGGATCAAGGAGATCATATTTAAGATTTCTACTATTCCTTGGTTTGATTGAATCTATGAATCCATAGGCGCCAAGTATTTCTTCGAGATCTTTGTAGATAAAGAAGTTTTAGTTTTAATCTGGGACCTATTTACCTGCAATTTACATTACTGAATCCTTAAGTGACTCTGACAGATCCTCAACTTGGACTTTTTAAAAGAAATCCTCAGCATTTATTACTTCGAAGGTTTTGTTAGCTCTCTGTGATTCCTATCCTTCTTGCTCTTCATTAATTATATTAATCTTTTGATCGTAAATTTGATCTTTCAGCACATTTCTTAAAGAGATGTTGTTATTCTGCAGGTATTGAGATATCATCTAGAAAGCCTTTTCGCTTTTTTCAAGCAATTCTTCTTCATTCATAGATTTAAGATAGTTTAATTCTGGAGGAGCTTCGTCATATTATACTTAATCATCATAGACCTCTTCCTAAATAAGATCTTCATCATTATCCAAGATACTTTTTTGCTTCTCCATATGCTTAATAGTTGTACTTTGCTTCAAAGATTTTTAACTTTGAATTTGTTATTAACTCAAGTGACTCTTGTTCGTAATAGTACTTTGACTCATTTTATTTTTTTAGACCCTTGGCTGATCTCTATTTGGAAATAAAGCATCAAGGACATCGTTAATCTTTATTTAGAAAGTATCCTTATGATTAATTGTAAGTAGATAAAGAGCAAAGCATTCAAATGATATTTTATCTCGACCATCATAGATCTCTTAAGAAAGTAAGGCTTCTCTTAAATCATCAACAGTCATCAAGCCCTTACCTTCAAAGTCATAAAGATTAAGTGTGTTTTCAAAATATTCTTGATGATCTTATGCTAATTCTCTATACTTTTTCAGAACATGCTTTTCTTGTTCATGAGTGTATATTTAGTATTAAGGTCCAAGTATTTTATCATGAATAACTTTGATAATTTTTCTATTCATCAATGTTTTATTTTGATCATAGTCAATTTCGCTTGACCCATCATCTGGCTTTTCAATTATATATCTAGCCAAGTTATTTGCTTAAGACTGGTCAAGTAGCAACTTAGCAAATAATATTGAAGAAAAATCTTTAATTGAAATATTCTCTCTATTCTAATTTTAACCCTCAAACAAGTACTCCTGTAATTGATCCTTGCTGACTTTTTCGAGCTACAGTTTCCTTTTAATGTGCTCAAAATTTTATTTTACTTATTCTTCTTTAATTATTGATTTGGACTCGTATTTCACGCTAGATTGATTTACAATGGATAGCGAGTGATGTGAACTTGAAACTGAATTTAACTTTTAGTGTTATGATATACTTTAATTTTACACAAGAATAGATCCTTGTTTTGATTAAAGATTGCTTTCATACTGATTCGTTGTATTAGCTAACTATTGCTTAACATTTTTTAATTCCTCTTCTATTTGATCTAATTGAAGTTATTTATCTTTGAGTTATCGTACATAAGTTTATCTGATCTCCTCAATACTTTTATTATTCTCTTCTTAAACTAGTAAGATTTGCTGTTCTAATTACTTCTTATGTAGTTAAAGCATATCTGTCCTTTATTTTTCTAAATCCCCAAGATATTACTTCTTAGACTATTCCTAAAGCTGCTTAATCTCACGCTAATGCTATTCTTAAAGATCATTTAACTTCTATGAAAATTCTTGTTGCTTTAAGTCATCATCGTAATTATCAACATCATCTCTTATATTTTCTTCAAGCTATTATTTAAGTTCCTTTATTTAATGCTCATTAATTGCTGTTTACTGTTTGAGCTTTTATTCTAACTGCTCAACTTGCTATAAAAGATTATTCATTGTTGTCCTAAGAGTATTTATTTCATTTTCTTTGTCTTTACTGTTGTTTTGCAATTCAGTAATCTTATTTAATAGCTCATTTTCTCTTTTCTACGATTAATTTTAGACCTAGTTTTAAATGTCCTCTATTTTATCAGTCAATGTTTAGTTTTCAAGTAGAGTTTATTCATAAACATTCTAAAGGTCAGTGAGCTTTTGCTTTAAATGATTGTATTCATCTTTAGAGATTGGCAGTTTCTCTTTACTGGATGCACTTTTTGATTTTTCCTTCAGTTCTTTTTCACATCTCTATCTCCATATTTAGATTTCTTTGTCTTTTGCAGCTAAATTTTCATTCAGTATTCCAATATCTGAGGATTGCTGATTTATCTATTACTAAAGGGAATTTATCATAACCTGATTATTCTAATCATCGGCTATTTATTGCTGAGATAATCCCTATCTATTCATTACTGCCTGACTTTAGCCACCTTGAGACATTGTAGACTCTAACTAAGCTCTTAATCTTGCTCCTTCTTGAATAAAAAATTATACAGTCTTTTCAGCCTCCTCTAACCTTGTTGATCTTATGTTTCTCTTTAATAATTCTATTTCAGAATCCTTGGCTTTCATAACTTGCTATATCTCTCTAAGTTGCTACTTAAGCTTAAATGAAAGAACAGTCTAATAGCACCATTATCATAAGTTAATCTTACATCCTAATTCATTTTAGTTTAAAGCTTTCCTGTTGCAACTATTTCATTGATCATTCTTTCACGAGTGATTAGTTCTTTCTAAAAGTTACGAAGTTATATAAATAAATTTACATTGAGAAATTGTATCTAGGTTTTGTGCTGCTAGTTCTCATTCATAAATCTATTGAGGTCCTGCTTTAGAGTCAGACACGCCTAATAAAGCTACTCTTTATCAAGGTTCATGTTAAGATTGACATATATGTGATCATCTGATTATCTCCTTGACAAACTTCTATTTACCTTTACTTTTCCACTCATTGGACGCTATCTTAATTGCTAGTTCTAAGCAATTCCGTAATCATATCTATGCGCTGCTTTAATTGTCTACATGTAAGGCACGCCAAGCTTTGAGTTTAACCTTGACTTTATTTGATTAACTCTCGCGAAGTTAAGTTCTCCACCGTAATCGTTTCTTAATGTCTAATTCTTAATCACTTGGAAATTCGTTCCATATATGGAGTTTTCATGAGGAAGTTAGACATTGTTCTTGGCAGGCTTTGCACTTTAAGGCCTAAGATTTCTTTGACCCAATGGATTTTTGCTGGCTTATTTTTACTGTATCATCTGAATCACATGCTGAGGATTTTGCTAATATTAATTGAATATTTTGCCTGATGCTCCCTAAATTGTGTTCATATATTAGGCTTGATTATTTTATATGTTAATGTTCATTTAATGTCCAGGACTGTTGTTTAGTAATAGCATCTTCTCTCCATTTTATCCTCTACTCATTTGGTTTTGCTAAAAAGTATTCTATCTAATGTTAGGATCTGAATTATAATTTTAGTCAAGATCTTGATTGAATTGCTCATCATCGTCATCTTGATCTATATATACTTAATTATCTTCAAACTCCTATTGATCTTCGTCAGCAGTGTAGGCTTGATATTGCAAAGCAGCAGGGTTATTATTAACTCTTTGATTTTTCATTTTATTTTTCTTATTTCAAAATATCACTTAAATTAAACAATGGGGTTTTGGGGTTTTGGGGTTTTGGGG